AATCCAGGGAGAAGACTGGAGTCATGTGTGGCTTTTTGCTGCATAATTAAAAACATAAAGGATAAGATGAGGCTGAATGTGTGTGGGGTAGGGGTAGTCAAATTGAGCTAATTTTGTAAGGTTAGAATTTAATTTTAATTAACTTATTTAAATAAATATATGAAGCGTTAATTTATGATTTAATGCTAGATAGTATAAGCAGAAGGATATTTGGTTAAAATGAGGAGAGCACATGGCAGTAGAAGAATAAAGTTCTAGGATAAGTGAGATTATAATTTAAATTTTTTTAATTTAAGTTGAATGTTTGTGGTAAATTATATTAATTATTGACATATACCAAGAATGAAGACCAAGTGATTGTAAACTACATAGATTTGAATTTGAATTTCAAGGAGAGAAAGGAAGATAGAAATTCAAGGTTAGGTTTTAATTTTGTTGGTTTGGAATCTAACATATTTAATTGAAATATATTATTATTATTTTACTTATTAATGTTAGAAATCATAGATAAAATATTCAGGTTGAAAATGAGAAGAGTTGATAATAGAAAATCAAGTTTAGGGACTAACTACCAAAAGCAATTTATTTAAATTAATGTTATTCAGAATTAGTGTTAATTGAATTGAGTATACTTAAAATTTAAGAATTGAAATCTTAATTAAAATGATGAAATTGAATATCAACTTTTATTAACTGAAGCATAACTAAGTAGTGTGAGATAAATTTATTAATATCAACATTTCTTATACTATAGGTGTTCAATTGAAAGAGTTATAACTGAAAGAGTAGAGATGTAAAAGGCTCAAGGTGAGTGATTCTATTTATAAAATTCAATAAATTTTTTAATTCACAAATGTATCCTTAAATTCATTTATACTATATACCCATGTGATTTAAACTACAACAGATTCTTCATATTATCAAACATAAAATACACATGTTGAATGTTTGTATATTAGTTTTTCTAAGAAGATGTTATATTATTACATTACTTTTAAAATCTAGTAGAGGTGTGTATATCAGAATATTACATGATATTTAAATTCTAGTAGAGCTACATTTATTTTTTTGGTGTATAAATACAAATTTTCTTATAAAAAAATTATGTGTGCTACTAAGAATTAAATAATAAAAATATTGTGTACATGAATGTTTGTATGTGCATGACAAGAGGAGTGCACCCTCTTTTCATATTGATTAGGGAAACCAATGCACCTGCGCATGTATATATTTTACTATCACCTCAATTAATTAAGAAAGTTTAAACACTAATAGTTGTGCCAATTGAAGAGTATAAGGGGTGAATAAGCCCCATTTCACCCCAGACAATAAGATACATGCATTGTGTGTCACTGTACTAACAAGATATGTATCAATCAGGGGTGTGTTAGATTGAGATAAACTTGAAAGTCAAGAGAGTATGAAGTACACCGAAGTTAAAGGATTAAATATTACAAAATAAAGCAAAATATGATGCAGAAAAAGAATTCTTGATTTTTTTCATGAGAAAATATCATGAAAATTTGATTAAAATTATTATATAATTTTTTAGAATATATTAAATAAGACTATCATATATATTACATTTTATTTTTGAGCACTGTAGTTTAGATGTGTGACTATTTCATTGAATTATCTTAAATAATTCATTATATTATTTTGTAGGATGAGAATATGAGTATAGAAGAGAAAATGTGTACCGAAAGAGAGGTCAAAAAATAGAGAAGTAAACTTTTGTTTTATTAAGTTAAATTACTTTCTTTAATGGAAATTTCAATTTATTTAGATTACAACCTGTTAGTGACAAAAAAAATCAATGTCATCGTCCAATCGTCCTTTTAAGCCTTTGAGATTCCAAGCTCACTGACCGAGTTTTGACAAAAAAATTGTATTATAGTAAATTATTTAGATTAAGTAACATTAATCTAAATAAAAGGGCCATTAGGATATTTGTGAATTTAAATCTTATTAATTTAAGTGATCTGACTAGCATTAACTCTAATCATATAATATTATCTTATCTTAAATATATATATACTCGCAAGGAGAGTGAGGGTGCTAAAGTGGTTAGAGAGAAATTACCAAATGTCACTGTGAACATTAACATAATGGCTCAGATGATGGCAGTTGTGACTCAACTTATCCAGGACTCTAGATCATAGTCAAATGTAAACGGCAGTACACTTGCCATATATAAATATTGAAGATGTTTCAGGATTTGTGGCCACTGTCTTTTAAGGGATTTGAAGGATCAATATAAGCTGAAAATTGGTTATTGTGAATAAATAAAATTTTAGATCATATGTGTTGCTTGGATGAGAGGAAGGTGCCTTTAGTTGCATTTGTTTCATATGAAAAGCTAAAAAATGGTGACAAAAGAAATATCGGGATGGGCTGGGAGATATATTGAATGGGTCGGTCGATTGAAAAGATTTTATTGAACTATTTAAAGATTGGTTCATGCCCCTGCCTATATTGACGCAGATGCTGGGTAAGTTTATCAAGTTGGTATAGATAGAGAAGTCAGTTATGTAGTATGAAGTATAGTTCACTACACTATCGAGGTATGCACCACTACAAATATCTATTGTATAGTAAAAATAAATTACATGTTTCTTTCTAAATTAAATGATTCAATCAGACAACCATTAATACCACTTTGAATTGAAGATTATTCAATACTAGTGGAGAGGGCCAGATAAGTGGAAATTGATTTTTCATTTTATTGAGAAGCATGGGGATTTGTAAAAGATGAGGAGCTTGGAAGAAGTGGTACCAACAATTCATTCTGGAGGATATAATGGGTATAAAATAAAATCATATATTGATGGAGTTAACAGTTAGGCTAGCAATAACGCTATAGAGCTAGTAAACCATTGTGAATGCTTATATAGTAATAAGATACATTATTTATGATGGCAATCCACACTTCATACAAGGAATTGCCTTAATTTTGCTTAAAGATCCAAATCAAATGCTAACTCCAAAAGGGATTCAACCCAGAATGGTTCTTAGGAGGGATCTAATTTTAGAAGTGGTCGACATAAGATAATAGGATATGGTTTAGTAACTTATAGGGGACAACCAAGACATAACACATTTGACCAATGTTCCATTCTTTAACTCATTAGAAACTTGAAGAACTTATCGTTACTGATGTAGATGCTAATAAAGTTTGACGAGTGATTTATCATATGGGTGTTATGATAGTTATCTTGTGTTGAGTATCCTTATTTGCTTTTATTTTAAAAGTTGAATGTTGTATTATTTATGCTATCCTATTTAGGATGTGGTGTTGTTGTAGTTATGTTATTATGTTTCAGATGTTATAGGAGTTGAATTATGTAATCTCATATGTTGGATTCAACATATTATCATTTGTTATCGCTTAATAAGAATTTGACTTTCTTAAATATTATTGGATATTTCATGATTTATCAAAATAATGATTAATTTGTGTAAAATTCATAAATTTTGCGAACAAATTTTAGAAGAAGAAAAATCATAATAAATGTATAAAAAAAGAAAATTTAATTTAATTTTTATGTTAGTTTAAATAAGAAATTACCATGATAGTTTCATTTCTATGAGATATGAGCCTCCATTTAAAACAAGTAATTTCAAAGGAATAAAAAGAAGTGAGTGAGAGATACTAAGGTGATAATGAGGGAGTGATAGAGAGTGAGCAGAAAGAAGTAAGGGAAGAAGAAGGAGAAGCGTTGTGTGCATGTCAAGGTGGTGAAGAAGGCTAATGCCACATGCAAAATACGACACCATAGAAAGAGAGAATCAAACACCTCCTATGCAGGTTCAAACATAAGGGAAAGGAGCATGCAAACCTGCGTGCATTTTTTCATGCGATTGAGAAGAGAAGGAAGTTCGAGCAGTCATGGCTGTGATAGTTTTCGCAGAAGAAATAAATCCAGGGAGAAGACTGGAGTCATGTGTGGCTTTTTGCTGCATAATTAAAAACATAAAGGATAAGATGAGGCTGAATGTGTGTGGGGTAGGGGTAGTCAAATTGAGCTAATTTTGTAAGGTTAGAATTTAATTTTAATTAACTTATTTAAATAAATATATGAAGCGTTAATTTATGATTCAATGCTAGATAGTATAAGCAGAAGGATATTTGGTTAAAATGAGGAGAGCACATGGCAGTAGAAGAATAAAGTTCTAGGATAAGTGAGATTATAATTTAAATTTTTTTAATTTAAGTTGAATGTTTGTGGTAAATTATATTAATTATTGACATATACCAAGAATGAAGAATAAAGTTCTAGGATAAGTGAGATTATAATTTAAAATTTTTTAATTTAAGTTGAATGTTTGTGGTAGATCATATTAATTATTGACATATATCAAGAATGAGCACCAAGTGATTGTAAACTACATAGATTTGAATTTGAATTTCAAGGAGAGAAAGGAAGATAGAAATTCAAGGTTAGGTTTTAATTTTGTTGTTTTGGAATCTAACATATTTAATTGAAACATATTAATTATCATTTTAGGAATTAATGTCAAAACACTACATCTCTGCATGAGGATAAAATAACTTATGAGTGCATCGTCACTATTTTAATCTTCCTGATAAAGTAACAATTTTATTCACTTGTTCATGCACGAATGTTGGGAGCAATTTTTTAGAGACCACAATATCATATTAATATTTTATGATATGATTAATATTCATAGTAATCTAGTCCTAAGTCAACATGGGTGCTATTCGGGTTAGCAAGCCTCATTTGAGTACGACCCGGTCGACTTGAAAATGCATGAGTTGTGCCTGACTCGATTATGAAATATGTTAAAACGTTTGACCCAAACTTGACTCACCTTCAAATCAGATAACCCCAGACTGACTCAAGTAACACGTTTAATCGAATTCATAACATTCATTGAATTAGATTCAAGTTGAAATAAAGTCAAATTTGGGCCAATTTTGAGTTAAATTTAGATTTGAAGCTCTATTCAAATATAATGGGTTTAGGATCTAGAGGGGCCATGAGGGGCAAGTGAGTCCGGAGGGGCCAGGCCGCACATACGACCACTATTTCCGATCTTTTTATGACCAGAGTTGCTTGGTGAGCTTTTCGGTTCCCTCCCTCCTAGGGCTTTATTGTCCGCACTCCTCTTCCTCATCTCCCTTTTTGCACAATCTCGGATCGAGCTCTCCAGGTACATTTTATTTTTCATACAAAACCATTCACTGCATCTAAATGGTTCAAACCTTACCAAGAAATTGCCCCCTTTCAGTTATTCCGTAGATTTTGCTCTATCTTGTACTAGGACGATTTGCTGCAAAAGCTTTTGATGCTGTCGATAGCTGATCTTTGCCGATTTATCTACATCTTGTAACTTTATCTCGCCAAGTCATTTCTTTGAGTTGCTTGTAGGTCTTGGACGTTCGTCCGGTTCTTGTCACTTTCGTTAGGGTTTCCTTCTCGATGATGGTGCCTCCACTTTTTTCTCGCCGCTTTCCTCCGATCTTTGTTGTCCTAACAGTTATTAAAATTTTTGCTGAAGTAGCTCAGGGGTTGTTTGGCCGTAAGATTTAGTCACGATATAGGCATTATTTATGCAAATTTCTGCAAAACAGTTATTTGAGCTGCTAATCATGCAACCTTTTTTAAATCCCATTTTTTCTCCTACTGTACGCATTCAGTAAATGTTAGGAGAGGTAGAAGTTAAGGATTTGTTCGGGTGCTAGTAGGATTTAGAAAATTCTTTAAGTCCGTACTCAGTAAATCTCGAGGCAATTAAATCTTGAAAATTGTTTGGCATTAAAGTCGTTAAATTTGGTTAAATCCTGATGAACTATTTAGTTAGTTATTTTAGGATTTCAGTCTGTTTGCTCAAATAGGATTTTTACTATTCAACTACTTGTTTTTATTATTATATTAATTGATGATTTTCTAATCGAACGCTATAGACATGTACATCTATATGTGGATGTGTACATCTATTTGTAGATATGTACATATATACACATACATACACATGTATTATCTCTACGTACATGTACGCACTTGCATACATCCATACATGCATACATGCATGCATGCATGCACACACACACACACACACACACACACATACCTACATACATACATACATATGTATATATACGTATGAGAGAGAGAGAGAGAGAGAGAGAGAGAGACAATATATATATATATATATATATATATATACACAATATATGTATATGTATACATATATATACAAACTTTCTTAATAAATCAATAGAAAGATATTTTCCTGACACAATAAATATATATATGCGGCGCCAAAATCGTGACGCCTAAACCTGAACTCCACGAACTCACAATGTCTCTAACCTCCCTCGCCGGTTCCTCAACGAACCGGCGGGCCCAC